TATCTCTATTAATTTGGTCTTGAATGTTTTTATCGATTGTTTTATTATTACACAATCTAAATTCTAAATCAATCCATGAACTCATATTAATAATATGTTGGTTAGTTGTTTCATGAGTTCTAAGCTTAGTAGTAAGATTTTTTCAATTTCTACTACCTTCATTAGCTAACTTATTATTCTTTGCATTAAAGGTCATATTAAATAACTTACAACAAAAGCAAAATACCTTATTCAAATCTTTGGAATAAACTAACCATCTTCTTTCATGTCTTTCTCCATTTGCCAACTTTTGAAAATAATATGTAGTAGAAAAGTGCCTTAAAAATTTATCCTTTGGAAAACATGTGTCGGTAATTTTAATTGGTCACTTTTCTACTAATAAGTCTCTTAACTTTGTATCAACAATATTCCATTGACTAGGATCATAGATATTTTAAGGAGTATAATTATTTAATTCATTTATAAGTTCTTGATTTTCTTGGGAATCTACATCCGACTTTTCACTAATTTTCTCTCCTTCTTCTTTTTGGTTTATATCATTACCTAACTCAACGTCAACTAAGTTAGTAACTTGTTCTTCTAAAGAGCATTTCCCTACCATTTTTTGATTTAATTTTAACATTGTTTTCCAAAAATTTATCAAGAGCACCTTTTTGAAATTTTATCAAGTTATCGACTTTTTTTCTTTTAAGTTTTGAATGACTGGATTCATATTTTCTAGTTGACATATTAAAATCGGGAAAAGGGTCAAAATTACCCCTCAACTTTGTTTTATTGGTTGACTTTACCCTTACCGTTAAAAAAAGTTATTTTTACCCCTGCCATCAATAAACTTAACAAATATACCCCTCCTTGGACGAAAACCCCCAAATCAATTGAAATTATCCGATTTTAATTGAAATTATCCAATTTCTTTTTTAACCAGAACCCAACCCACTAAACTAAACAAAACTCATTTCCAATCTTCTTCATCTCGGTGTTCTTGGCTAAGTACCCTAAAAACACTCACAATCTTTATCATAGCTAACACATACATCCTACATTGTCTAACAAAATCAATCGAAAAGACCTGATATTTATCATTCAACCAGCGAACAATTCGGAAATAATGTACGCAAATCGGCTATTTGTGCACTTACCACGCGTGGACCCCTCCTCCCCCACCCCGCCACAAAGAACATTCGTCAACAAGACACATCGTCTTTTGTTCTTTTCTTTTTTCTCTTTTGGTATTGTTGGTGTACAGAAGAGCGTAGAAAGTTCCCAAGAGGATTTTCTAACTGAGAAAAAAGAATTTGACTTCATAGAGATCGACGTTTTACGTGAGTTCTTGGAAAGAACTGGAATAGTTTTTATTTTTGAAAAGCCACTATGTTTTGGGAAGAATTGGAATACATGTATTATCAAATGACTGACAACTCTTGGATGTTGGACATTACATCTTACAACTGCTAATGAGCTGTTGTCTCAGGCTTTGTGTGCACATAAAATGTCTGACTTATGGATTTATGTTTCTTTTGTTTTGGCAGATTTATTTCTTTATATTTGGACTTGAAATTGCCACATATATTTGACACAAAAGAATCAATCTTAGAAAAGAAAAAAACGCATTGTTATTAATGTAACAATCATGAACAACTTCTACAATATATATATATATATATATATATAAAGTTGCCATCCAGGTGTACGCTGAGAAGAAGGGGAAAGAACACTGAGATGAAGAAGATTGGAAATAGGTTAATTTGTTATGGGTTTTGCTTAGTTTAGTGGGTGGGGTTATGGTTCGAGTTAAAACAGAAATTGGATAATTTCAATTAAAATTGGGTAATTTCAATTGATTTGAAGGTTTCTGTCCAAGGAGGGGTATATTTGTTAAGTTTATTGACGGTAGGGATAAAAATTACTTGCTTTAAACGGTAAGGGTAAAATCAACCAATAAAACAAAGTTAAGAGGTAATTTTGACCCTTTTCCCATTAAAATCTAACAAATATTTTAAACACTATTTACAATATCAAATAAAAAATATAATAAACATAAGACACAAAACAAAAATAATATTAGAAATTAGAATGATATTACCAAATTCAAAAGCTATGAAGACTTGATTTCCAAAAATGAATTGAGCTACTGCAATATAGTTTTCTCCAAATTTAAAATATAAACTATCAATAGAACAAATAAATTTTTAAGCTTTGAATAAGTGAGAGATGTAAGATTAGAAAAGAGAAAGTGAGAAGAAATAGAAGGGATGAGGATAAAATATATAAAAAAAAATTAGAAAAAAAAAAAATAACTTGTACATTAAAAAAAAAGTACACAACTTTTTATTGGAAAGTTAAAAAGTCATAGTCATATCTATCAGACTATCACTTCATTAAGCCATTTGCATTTATTGTCTTAGTTCTAACAATTTTTTTAAAAATTTAATCCTTACTAATTAACTAAAAAATGAGCCTTTGCATTTATTGTCTTAGTTCTAATATTTTTAAAAAAAAATTAATTCTACCTAATTAACTAAAAAATGGGGCCCCCTAAAATTGGGGGCCTAAGGCTAAGGACTTTTTTTTAAGCCTAACCAGCCGCCCCTCGTTATGGCAAGCAATCGAAAATATCATTTGAAATTTTTATCTCAATTTAAATAGTTTGATGAAAATTAGAGTTGATTTTCATTAAAATTTCAAATTAAAACTCAAAGAGAAAACATAAATTAATTGTAAACTCACACACTTTTATAAAAACTCATAAATCTAGTTTAAAAATGGATAAACATTATTCTATTTTTTATACCTATTAAAGAAAATATACAAAGATCCTTATTAACAAATGGATTCCAACTTAATAGTAGTAGTGGAGCCACGTCTAACTCTCAAATTATTTTTTCTTTCCACAATTTGACTAAAATATTTGACAAACATTTATATAATATGCTTAAGTTTCAACATAATTTAATTATGAAGTAGATTATGACGTGTCTTCTAATGTTTTAAGTCTTAAACCAAAATTATAGACTCATTAATTTTCCTAAGTGCTAGCAAAAATTAGCTATCTCACCATAGGTAATGCTAAATGGCCAGAAATTTAAAAAATTTATAATATCTTTTTTATTTTAAAATAAACTATTTTTTTTTCATATTTAATTAAAAGATATTAAAGTTAAAAAGGTAAAAATATTTTTAAAAAGTAAAAAATAACATAGGAAAAATATCCTTCTGGCCAAAAGGATTTTTCCCTCACTATATATGTCAGGTAATATTTTAATATCTAGAAGGTTTTATTTTTATTTTGTTAAGATTATGTATATGGATAATCTTCTTTTAAGTAGGCGTGACTCCATATCTAATCAGCAATATTCTGTTCGCACCATTTAAGGAAGCAAATAAAATTAATATAAAAGAAGAAATAAATAAAAAATTGTTAGAAAAAGACTAATGTGTCCCTATATAATTGTGATAGGTTCAAAATGAACAGTTCTAAATAAATTTTATTCTTTTAAATTTTCTAAAAGAGAGCATTATTGTTTCATACAAATATTTTAGCAAACTTTATCGGTTGGATTTGAGATGAAATGCAAATAAATAAATTAAATTTAAAAAATGAAAATATCAAATGTCCGTGGGGACCATCACGATTCCTCTCTTCTCCAGAATTCAAATATTTCTTATCAATGTATAGATACCTATCTTATCTATCGAGAGCATATTTAAGTTAAGTTTGACCTTTACTGACAATAAAATGGAGCACCTATAATTCAAAAAATCGCAATACGATATATTGAGCATTAAAAAAAATAGAGGGAGTAAAAGTTGCATAGTATGCAATTTCAAATGTGCAAATGTGAGTTTTTGCAATTTTTCTGGAGAAAGGGTTAAAAATTATCCCTCATTTTTCATTTCTTAGCGAATTTTGCCCTTCGTCATATTGTCTGCCTGTTTATAGCACTATCGTTACAAACTTATTATTCATACCTCTTGTTAGATGGAAAACCCTGAATCAGATTTTTATGCCTGAAAATAAAAAAATTCAGCACCCTAATCTAATCCGCATCTATCTAATTTACCTGCACTTGATCTTATTAGAATTTTTATAAGGAATATGAATGATACATTTTATGATGGTAAAACTATAAATAGTCAAATAGTATGACAAATGGCGAAGCTAATAAATAAATGAAAGTTAAGGGGTATTTTTTATTCTTTTCCTCCCTTTTTTTTTTTTATAGTTTTCATCAAATATAATAGAAATAGTTTGTATTACGTAAAGTATCTGTAGAGACTAAAAGTGTTCATTTTGACAAATTTAAAAGATTAAACTATTCAATAACATACTTAAACGACTAATTTGAACTAACCATAAACATGAGGGACTATTTTGATATTTTCTGTAAAACTTGTTTGACAATTTTATCTTCTCCCCACACTAAAAAACCGCGTGTTAATTCTAGATAATGTTAACACTTGGCAACAAGAGTACTGGGACCATTCAAGGGTAAGATAGTCAACAAAATACCGACTCCTTTTTGCGACAATGATAACTTAACGTCGAAACGGAGGTAACGGTGTCCTTGTCGTACATCAAGATTACGAAACCACTTTTCCTTTAATTAATCAAATTATTTAATCCCTCAGTTAATTTTTATTTGTCCAGATTTTACATTCACCTTCAGAAATAATGTGTCCAAATTCATCAATGTTAACTATTAGGTCTTAAAAAAGAATTTGAAGAATAAATAATTAAATACTTATTAACCTTGATATGTTAAAAGTAAAAAATTATTTTTAAAATAGTGAACGATTGAAAGTCAGTATAATCAAAGATACCCAGAATCATTTTAAAGATCCATAATTCCATTAAGCGACAGAATTAAAAAGGTATTAAGAATTGGATATTCTGTTAACGTACAGATTGCCGTTAAATGAAACGGAAGTTGTACGCCGTTATACTGGGGTAGGTGCGAAAGAGAAATGCAGCTCATTTTTTTCACTATAAAAAAAGGGGGAGACAGGCAAAGAGTGTGATCATCATCACATAGGGGCTTTGCTCTTTATCTCTGTGAATTTTCAGATTCTCTTCAGAAACTCCATTTTTTTCTTCTTCTTCTTCCTTAGTGTGTATTGTATGGCCGCCAATTTGCAGGGCCGTGGACTCGTGAGCTTGGGGAAGCGTGTTGTTAACCAGATCAACTACGCAAGTGCTCGAACCACTGCTAATTCACCTTCCCTCTCTGGAAGGTATGGTTCTAAATTTGATCTCTGTGAATGTTGTTTTGTCCTTTTACCGTTTTGCGTTAGCAGTTTTGGTGTACCTATTCAGTGTACAGTGTTTGCTTTCTACTGCATTTATTCGTATAGATGAGCTTAATGTTCGATCTTTGTTTACTACAAGTAGTATTTTGTGATTTTTGCTTAATTTCTGAGAAAATTATGCGATCCTTTTGTACTCTGCTAAGTTCTGTGATGGATGAATTTGTTGGTCAAACAATGCTCGGAGTTTACGATGCTCCTTTCTCTCTCTGATCTTGATCCTCAAATTTAGTGATTCCATTGAGCAAGAGTAAGCATGAAGAATCTTTATGATTTCCAGTATTTGGTATTACCGATCAAATACGAGATCATTTCAATTAGATTTACAACTTGTAGAGCTAAACGTTGTATTTTACCAGTTTTAGTTTGTTTTTTCCAGATCTAGCAACTGTACACGTCTTCTAGCTAGCTAGCTGAGATTTTTTGATCCGATTTGTCATGGCATATGCTTTTTTTCCCGGAAAGTTAGAAGTGTATTCGTCTCTCTGATCTGGCGATTTTCTGTTCTGATTTCTTTCCTGTTTAATGTATTTCCAGAAACACTGATGCTGAATCATGTTATTTTCACCAAAGCATTATTTTAGGCATACTTCTGTCAGTCACGTTTTTTTCTTCCTTGTTTATCAAAGCAATGTAATGCGTGCTGAAGTGGAGTGCGTATCGGATAAGGACGTCTCACCCACTAATAAAAATTTCTGGCACAGATAATGTTCCCTGAGCCTAACACACACATGTTACAATTGATCTGAACCGTTAATCTTTTCCAAAATTACGAAATTTATTACTCCATTTGCATGTATTTCACGGTTAGATGACGATTAGCATTTATTAGAAAAAGAAAAAAGTTAGATGTAAAGATGTAACCGTCTAACCTGATCTCATAGAAGCTTGGGAAGTTAAGAAAAGAATAGGTGAGTAGGTGTAGGTCTGTAGGTGAACCTTTAGGGACCCATATAAAACCAAAGATGAAAGATAAAAATATTACTCCATCCGTTTAAAAAAAAATGACTCATTTCCTTTTTAGTCTGTTCAAAAAGAATGACCCCTTTTCTTTTTTTGGCAACACTTTAACTTTAATTTTTTACATGACATGTTTAAGACCACAAGATTAAAGGGCATTTTGGTATATTTGACATTACTTTAATTTTAAATCACAAGATTTAAAAATCTTCTTTCTTTTCTTAAATTTCATTCCAAGTCAAACTAAGACATTCTTTTTTAAACGGAGGGAGTAGATAGAAGCTCTTGATTAGACATGTAGGGCTGGAGTTATTTTGCCTTTTTTGAAGCAACAATATTGCTGATGATTGATGGTTGACACTGTTCCTTCTTGGTGGGGGTTGGGGAATGGGACCTGTATCCACCACCATGATCAATAATTATGCTATGCCCCACGTACAGTAGTTGAGCTATTGTTTGCGCATAAATTTCAAAATCTATAATCAAACAGGAGCTAGAAATACAATGAAACTAGTCATGACTAGTTATAGATACCAATATCAGATTTCCAACTTTGCCGTACTTATAATTAAAGTTAATTGGTTGGTTTCAAGTTCTTTATTAGGAGGAACCCGACATAATCACGTGAGTAGACCTGACATTTGGGCACTAAATTAATTAAATTTTGGAGTGAGATATATAATTCCAAGGCCTAATATGTATCTTGTACCTATACATTGTTGATTGAATTAATAAGTAATTGATTGATTGTTGTACACAGGAGGGGAGTGCAGACATCAGTGTACGACAAGAACCCGGAGGATCATGTGCGCGATTCGGTTGTGCCTGATGAAGTGATAGAGCCGCAATCAGAAAAATACTGGGCTCCTCACCCACAAACTGGGGTGTTTGGGCCAGCAGCAACTGATTCTGCTGGCGCGGAACGTGGCTTTCACTCCCCACCCGCCACTGGTGCTACTGCTGAATCTATTTTGGAGCAGAAGACATTCTTCCGCCCTCTCGAGGACTTGGAGAAGCCCATGCTTAATTAATTTCACGTACTTGAGTAAACTTGCTTTATAACTATATATATTGGGTACAAGTAAAGCTGTTTGTTTGTGTTTATGCGAGTCTCTAGTTTAGTTTTAAGGTGCAGTATAGACTAATAAGGTATTAAAAGCTGCACTGCTTTTGAAGGTTCGTTCATATGGTAATGTAATATGGGTGTCTTTTACCACTGCTACGTAACTGCTGATGATGAACTTTTTGCTTTCAGAGTATTACGTTACTTTCAAAGTCTTTATCATTTGGAATTGGGAAAGTGATTAGTTACGTATATAGCTGTGCCAATGGCATCAACTTGAGAAAAAGATGAGATTAATCCAAAATTGAAGCTAACCAAGATAGGGAAATGCACTTTAGCAATTGGGCCTCCAAAATATCCAACTTTATCGGTTCATAACTATTTTCCCTATAATAAATGATAGTCATATCCACATCACTCATCTATCCTATAGAGTCCCGTACCACTACGGCAAGCCCATTATCTGTTACTCCACCTGTCCCTACTCTCCAATACTTTGTCCCTATTCTGCTTTTTCATGTAACTTCCTATCTTATTGCACTCTTGTTCCCTCTGGGACCAAAGATAATGAATTATAGGATGGGAAAGATTGAATCACGATTTTAAGCTAGCGTTTGGCCATAGATTTTCAAATACTATTTGAGTGAAATTTCACAATGTGTTTGGTCATAGTATTTGAAAAACATATTTCATTTTTTTAGAAAAATATGATTTATACCTATAAGTTTTAAAAACTATCAAAACTAACCATAAGTTTGTATTACAAGTCAATTGAATCTTCGTTGCAACAAATAGCAAGTAGTGTCCATGACACTGGAGCAATGTGGTAGTTTGGAGTGAGTGCAACAAGCATCATTCCATACATCGTGAAGTAGACAAAGCACATGACTTTGTTACCTGAGCCGATTGTTCATAATTTTCATCAACAACCATATCAATACTTTCATATTCACTGAATATTTCATCACTACTATGGTGTTCACGTACAAAATTATGTAATACAACGCAAACAACTACTATAGAGAATGTTTTTGTAAAAGATAAAAGTTTGGTGTAAAATTTCAATTTTTAAAAGATCCCAAATAATGAGATCTGACCCAAATACTAAAAAGAACTAGTATTTGGGAATTTGGGATATATATTTGCCAAAAATATTTGCCGAATAATGACAAATTGTATGAACAAACACTATTTGCCAAATTTTTCCCCAAATATTACTTGAAAAATCTATGGTCAAACGGGTCCTAAATTTTTATATATATATATATATATATATATATATATATATATATATATATATATATATATATAACCCTAGACATAAACTAATTAAATATGTCATATGGGCGCAGGAAGTATTATTTGTCTATCTTACACGTTCCTCGTACGAAATTCACTTAATTATTCTACAACAGGGACGTGAGAATTGATAACAATCAAATGGCATCTAATAACTGTTAAATACATAACTATTATTTACTTAGCTTTATAATCTTCAAAGAATAGAAAAGTATCTATACTAGAAGATTGTACTTGTCAAATACTCCTAATATAACATAAGTTTTATCACGTAATTAAATGGCCCTTCTGGCCGATTCCAGTTAACATGGTTATATATTTATAAGTTACTATAACAAAACAAATCACTTTATATTTTGAATTTTTAAATTTTTAATCAATCATCTTTTAATATTTGCCTCAAACAAAATATATAATTTTAAATTTAGTTAATAAAATTTCAATTTTTCGGTGCACTGAAAAAACGTGACCCTTACACGGAACTGAAAAAATCGAAGTTCCAAAAAGGGAACATTGAAGTCGAATCGAAACATTGAAAAATTAAATTAATTCGATTTCAATTTTCCGGTGTTTGTGCTCACCCTACTTGGAGGGTGAACTATGTGATACTTTGACTGCACTCACTATTGCAGAACAGGAGTTGGTCAAGTGTAAAATCAACTTGGTAAAATTTATAGATTGTTATGTCATTGTCAAATTCTTTTATCCAAGGGGCTCGAATGCGAGACTTCTTGGTTAAGAATGAAGGAGTACTTACCACTCCATCACAACCCTCGTTGGTCATTGTCAAACTGATTTGTTCTTGCTTGTCAAAGAATTGAGGGTTCAAATGGAACATGTACAATGTTGCAAATACATTCAAGAACTTAATGAAGTTAGTAATCTGATAAAGAAACTTTTTTATGATAGACTCAAGAACTTAAGTTAAGTTCGTAATTAGTAGTCTGATAAAATAAAAAAAAACAACATTGTTATAACAAGGAGTATGAACATTTTCCCGGTAATCGAAGACCCTTATAACCATTCTTTTTTGTTTTTATGAGGATATATTAACAAGGAGTATACTTAAGTGAAACTGGAAATTTTGGGGTTAAATTTGGATAAAAAAATGGAACGAGAAATGCGAAAAACTATTTTCATAGAGTTTTTAGTTCTAGAGTTAATTTTTATATGATTACTAAAATAATAGTATTATTAAACTAAAAAGACATTTTTTTGTTGAAGAAAATTATGCCAATATATTCAATATAATTTCACAAAATGGAGTACGAAGAGATTAAGGTGTACGCATACTTTTCCTACCTCAACGATAAAGAAGTTGTATCCAAAAGACCCCTGATTCAAGAAAAAATATAATCCAAAATAGTTTAATTAGAAAAAGGAAAAGAAAAAGTAATAAAAATACAAAAAAATCAGTAACTACAATAATATAACATAATAGTCAAACTATAAGACAACAAATAATATTAACAGAAATTATAAAAAGGACCAAAACCTATGAGAGCAATACTACCCGTATGAATGGATAGCAAGACAATATATTGCTATCCACTAACCTCTATCTTAATGCTTTATCTATTTTTTAAAAATCTAAAGTCGTGTTCTTGGTAAGTTGGAGCTGCTTCATGTCATGTCTAATCATTTCTCCTCTATATTTTTTTCGATCTATTCCTACCTCACATAAAATTATCCATAACCAATCTCTCACACCTCCACACTGAGATCCTCTTCACACGTATGAACCATCTCATTTCACTTTTCGTATTTTGTCCTCCACCAAGTCTCCCAAATTGTTTTGATATCTTCATATCTAATTCTATCTCTCCTAATATGCCCTTACACCTATTAGAACATGCTCATTTCCGTAATTTTCGACTTTTAAAAATAAGAATTTTTGACTAGTTAATACTTTGCCCTATACAACTTAGTCAGTCTAACTATCACTCTATAAAGCTTGTGTTTTAAATTTTGACTTTACCTTCTTATCACATAAGACCTCAAATACAACGCGTTCACCCTACGACTTTCTAGTCTATTTCTCTTCTTTTTTTTAAAATAACAAATTCAAAATACTTAAAACTTTCTGAACGACTTTCCAATCAAGCTTAGCTAAATTGAAAAAGATTAGATAAATTTTTTTTTTTTCCTAAAAATAATAACTATTAATCGAGTAACCGAATTCCAACTTTCCCTCTCTTTGCCTAATGAGCAAATCCGTATAATAAGTGTGAGATATATGATAAACAACCCGCCAAAAAACAACAACAAATATCTTTGTCAATTTCTATAACAGCAAATACAAACAAGAGAGCTCTCTACTAGCTTCAATTCTTCCCCAAGGCAATTTCTTAGGGGCATGGCGGCATCTACGGCGCTGCTAAGTATTGCTCCGCCGCAGTTCAACTCAACAGCAAAATCAAAGGTAACCCGAAAACCCTCTTTTTGTTCTTGCTCTATAGATTCCTCAAATTCTGCTACTACTAGTTCTACTGTTAGTGAAGAGCGAGATAATACTCCCAAGAAATTTACATATACCAGAGCTTCTCCATCCTCTAGATGGCCCCACTTGAAATTCACTGACACCCATCAAAGTTCACAGCCCTCCCCGTTATCTGTTGCCGTCCCGTCTGTAAAAGATGTTGAATTTGATTCGGGAAGTGATGGGAATGTGGGTTGTTATGAGGGAAGAGGAATGGAGAAGGGAGAGGAGTCGTTGAACTCAAATGGGTTTCAACTGAATGATGAAACCCAAGAGGTTTTGGGTAGACCCAGCAGGACTAGGGCGAAGAAAATGACGAAACTTGCTCTCAAGAGGGCGAAAGATTGGCGTCAGAGGGTACAATTTTTAACTGATAAGATTTTGGGGCTGAAATCTGAGGAGTTTGTAGCTGATGTGTTGGATGAAAAGATGGTGCAAATGACCCCTACTGATTTTTGCTTTGTGGTGAAATGGGTTGGTCAATCTAGTTGGCAAAGGGCATTGGAGGTTTTTGAATGGTTGAATCTTCGAAATTGGTATTCTCCGAATGCCCGGATGCTTGCAACAATACTTGCTGTGCTGGGCAAGGCCAACCAGGAAGCATTGGCTGTGGAGATCTTTATGCGGGCAGAGCAAAGTATTGGAAACACAGTTCAAGTATATAATTCAATGATGGGTGTTTACGCTAGAAATGGGAGGTTTTCCCGGGTTCAACAGTTACTTGAATTAATGCATGAGCGCGGGCTTGAGCCAGATCTTGTGAGTTTTAATACTTTGATTAATGCGCGTCTCAAATCAGGCCCTATGACACCAAACCTGGCAATTGAACTTCTTGATGAAGTAAGGAGTTCGGGCACTCAACCTGACATAATAACTTATAACACTCTGATTAGTGCTTGTTCACGCGAATCAAATGTTGAGGAAGCTGTAAAAGTTTTTAATGATATGGAAAGTCATAGATGCCAACCTGATTTGTGGACGTATAATGCTATGATTTCAGTTTTTGGGAGATGTGGAATGGATGGTGAGGCTGCAAGGCTGTTCAATGAACTGGAGGCAAATGGCTTTTATCCAGATGCAGTGACATATAATTCACTGCTCCATGCATTTGCTAGGCAGGGGAATATTGAGAAGGTTAAAGAAATCTGCGAAGAGATGGTGAACATGGGTTTTGGGAAGGACGAAATGACTTATAATACCATCATTGACATGTATGGGAAACAGGGTCGGCATGACCTTGCATTGCAAGTCTACAATGACATGACATCTTCTGGTCGAAGCCCTGATGTAATTACATATACAATTCTTATTGACTCACTAGGGAAAGACAATAAAATGGCAGAGGCTTCAAAAGTGATGTCTGAGATGCTGAAT